TTCTAGTTTATAGCTTTTCATTTTCTTAGAAATACAGTTATTTCTAAGGCCTGCTAAGATCTTTGACTGGAATTATGTAAAATCTATAGATAGATTGGAAAGAATATACATAACAACAACATTAATTGTTCTTATTTGTGAACATGCTATGACTATTTTATTCATCAAGTTTTGTTTGTTTGGAAGGGTCTTGCTATGAAGGTTAGGCTGGCCTTGAACTCACAGCAATCCTGCCTTACTCTCTGGAGTACTGGGATTACAGGCGTGTATCATTACCTGGTCTTCATTATTAATTTATTATTATATTTATCTTCTTTAATTTTTGTCAGCAGTGTCTGATAGATTTATCTTTATGTAATTTTCTTTTTTTTCGTGTGTGTGTGTGTTACTGGACATTAAAACTAGTGCCTTTGCAGTGAGCTATATCCCCAGCTCTTTTTATTTCCTTTTATTGTTTGTTTTTTGAGACAGGGTCTTGCTATGTTGTTCCTTTGGCTTTGTTTTTTTGGTTTTGTGTGTGTGTGTGTGTGTGTGTGTGTGTGTGGCCAGCTCAGCCCACCAAGGGGCTGGGCTGGCTGGCATGTGGTGCTGGGGGATTGAACCGCGGTCCCTGTGCTTTGCTAAGCTTGTTCTAAGTAGGTGCTTTAGACCACTGAGCCATCTCACCAGCCCCGTTCCTTTGGCTTTGAACTCACTCTGTAGCCCAAGATGCCTTGAAACTGTGGCAAACCTTTTGCCTCAGCCTCCTGAGTGTTGGGATTACAGGAGTGCATCATCATAATCAAGCTCAGCTTTATTTTTTCTTGAGACAGGTCTCTCCCAGGCTGTACTCAGATTCACAGTTCTCTTGCCTTTAGCCTCCCAGTGCTGGGATTGCCAGTGTGCATCACCAAGTCCAGCTTCTCCCCTTTTGATGCTATTACACAGTAGTATTTTTTTTTTCCCAGTACTGGGAATTAATGCAGGACCTCCCAACTGCTAAGCTGGGAGGTAAGCACTCTACCACAACCTACATTCTCAGGCCTTAAATGTTTTTAAATTTCAATTTTATGGGCGGAGAATGTGGGTTCATAACAAAGAAGAGGCTTGCTATACTACACTTCTTAATATAATGCAGAACAGAAATGGTAGGAGGAGCAGCATGACCTCTGAAGCCAACCAAAGTTTTGGGAAGATGAGTCAAAATGGTCGTGGGGAGGGCCCCACAGACACAGGAGAGTAGAAGATGCAGAAGGGCTAGAGTGCTTGGCTGGGAGACAAAAATGGAACCCTCAGAACAGGGCCGGATGAGACTCCAAAGCAGTCCCACCTGGCAGCTCTCTGGCTTCTGCCTGCTTCCTTGAACTTGCCAGAGTACGGTCAAGGGAACATGGTTAACTACATTCCTCTCTTCACAAATGGCATGGGCAGAAGCTCTCCCCTGTGGGGGATTAGTGGAGCAAAAGATCAGTGGGGCAGAGTATTTGAGGAATTAAAGGGCTCAGAAGGGAAGGCAGGCTCAATCAGTCCAGGTGGGGTAAGGCCACAGGATATGGGCAGGCTCTGAGCAGAGGGCCAGCAGTGGAAAGGCCTGAATGACAATGCCCAAAACTGCCTGGGAGCAAGTAACCCATCATAATCATAGCATCTACCCTAAGCCTTCAAAGAACTATACCCTGAACCTTCATGCCTTTTCAGCCTGTGAGCCACTGGTTAAAATTCTCTAGAGCTCCTGGAAGGAGCCAATTGAAGCTGAACAGGTCTTAGTGGTGGATGCAGGGCCCAGAGCCTGCTGTTCTCTCCCCACATCTTCCCCTATAGCACAGGAAACTGTCTGGCCCAGGAACAAGGTACTGCTTTGAGGACCAACCCTACTCCTAAATAGACAGCACTTGTGTTCCCCTCAGATGAAGGGTTGTCAGCTGGACAGCAATGAGAAGGAATCATTTCTCTACATCTGGTTCTGGCTACTTGGTGGCCCTTAGCATGCCCACCAGCTTCTTCTGATTCAGGATCCATCCACAGGCCACACCAATACCAGCAGTGCTCCCCATCCAAAACTGACTATGATGTGGGACAGATAGGGCCTCCTCAGTGCTTCTTTTTTCTTTTTTTTGGTGGAACCGGGGATTGAACTCAGGTCCTTGCACTTGCCAGGGAAGCGCTTATTCCACTGAACCATCTCCCCAGCCCCATCCTCAGTGCTTCTTGACCAGTATAATCTTCCCTAAAACCAAACCAGGCCACTGTCCATTTCAGCTCCCCCTAAAACATTCCTTCAGAGGGACTGCTTACTACTTTACTCCACTCAAGCCAACAGCCTGGTGATGTCCGACAGATCTTCTCCTTCAGCCAATGCAAAATGACCCAATCCATGGCCTGGGGAGATAGCTCAGTAGAATAAGCGCTTGCCTGGCAAGCGCAAGGGCCTCAGTTCAATCCCTGGTTCCAGGGGAGGAAGAAATTGTGTTTGGGGGGGAAAAAATGATCCAATCCCAATATCTGCCCTTTGAGGATTTTAATGACATTCTTTCATGCTCACCTAGCACCCATACCATATTCCTGGCCAGTGACTATATCCTACTGGGCCTTTCCAATCACCAACCATTGTTTCTGGGTTTGTCCCTGTACCTTATACTAAAGACCATGAGATCCTTAGGACAAGGGCCATAAGGTCCTCATCACCAGTTCCCTCAGCAGTTCTGGATTCTGAGAGGTGGTATGTATACATGTGCCACTAGTGACTAGTGCAAGTCACCAACCCACCTCTTTCACACAGGAAGAAATTATCTCCCATCTTTTATGCAGATTTTACTGTACACACGGTATAAGACGTAAACTAAGAGATTTTCTTTCTTCAGTTTCTCAGACTGAAGCAGTAGATACTCAAGAAAATCTAACAGTAATGTAGCCATTTGATTGTTAGAAGCTAGTCAAATTACCTACTTAAGTCAAATGACCAAAGATATCTGGGTGATACTTTTGTCTCAGTGAGTGGAGGATACTCAATAACCATTACTGGGCCTCGAAGTAGCTCAATGGACTAAGTGCCTGCTTAGGCAAGTGCAGGGACCAGGGTTCAATCCACCGCAGCACCACATGCTATGCTGGCCACGCCCCTGGGCACACTGAGCTGGCCACAGAGACTG